ATGTTGAGACCAAATTATTCCAAATGGTCATGTCAATGGTACACTGAAACAAATCGACATGTACCGTTTATTGGATCCATCTTATAACATAGCAATGTCAGCAGATTTATTCATTCTATGCGATGATTGATAGATTCCATTGGATTATCACTTAAAAACTATGACTGCGATATGGAACGATTTCTATCGTAATTTCACATACTTAGTACTTGATAATACTTTGCTTCGAACGCGGTTAGCGATAGGTAAGATGTATATGAATATTGTCTGATATATTTCATGGTGAAAAACTGGTGATATGTCATTGGTGGGAACAGACATCTAGAAACTAATGGAAAATCATCTAAGTTTGCACTATGAGAAAATCCAGTAAAATATACCTGTTTTCATGATGAATATTGCTCACTAAAAGATATATCTTATAAGATAATTATGTTTATTTTATTGGAGTTGCTTTTAACAATTTTTGACGGAGTTGGTTGGAAATGCTAACATGAAGCTTAAGTGTGATAATTTATTAGCTAGAGAATGATCTTTAGAAGAGGGTAGGTGGATAGTTCCGTTAGAGTACGGCAGTATGAAAATTTAATAGAAGTTGAAAATGAGCGAAGGGCCATTAATGCGACAGTTTTTAAAGTTAGACGCACATCTTTTGCCTAACCCGTACGATGTACGCGGAGACTTGAAGTATGTCTCCAAGTCTACAGGCAAAAAATGTGCGTCCTTCTATTGCTCATAAACTGACTGCGGCTGTGGAATAGTTCTACGACGTTCCTACTGCCTTCTTTCTGAGATGACCAAGTTGGTCCTGACGAGAGGAGCAACACAATAGTTGGGTAAAGAAGAATTGCATTATAACACACCATTGACTGGAAATGCTCTCGCAACGTGGGGCTTTAGGTAGTGATGAAAACGTCGCTAGAACTATTCCACAGCCGCAGTCAGTTCCATCTTTTAAACCATTGGCACAACATTTATTAAGAAATCCGATGTTGCTTGCGAATATTTGCAGCAGCTGTTGATGTAAAATCGAACCAGAGAACCAGGAGTTTTCGGCTTCACAAAAAGTAGGGTTAACTACCCTATTTCCGGCCTATTAGGCACAACCCGCACTTCTTCTTCTTCTTCTTCGCATTTCAAGCTTATTGCATATCGCATATTAGCTTATTGCGTGCTCTCAACTTAGTGTTCTAGATGCACTTCCACAGTTATTAATTGAGAGCTTTCGATGCCTGTACCATTTTTGCATTAGTATAATTGTGTGGCAAGTTCAATCATACTCTATGCCCAGGGAAGTCGAGAAATTTTCCAACCCGAAAAATTCCTAGACCGGACCGGGAATCGAACCCAGCCACCTCCAGCATGGTCTTGCTTTGTAGCTGCGCCTTTACCAGCTGAGCTAAGGGAGGCCCCACAACCCGCACTTAGTCTTTCTTAATCTAGCGCAGTTTAGCACCAAACGGAATGTTATTATTACTGATGGGTTCCAAATTTATTTACCTTTCCGTACGTACCGTACCGTGAAAAAGAGAAACCAATCGTTGAGATATTGTTAAAAGTCTAACACTGCTTCTTGGCGCCAAACTCGGCCTACGGATTCTAAACTCACTTCGGCCTATCGGATGAAGATAAAAATTGATTCGGTCGGAGCGCTTCTTTTGTTTTTGGGAATAATGGGTGCAAACCTTCACACCACGCGTTCTCCTTGACTTCGTTCCGTAGCTTAATAACTAAAGTATCGTACCAAACGCATAATTTACTGGTTAAAATGAATTTATTTGAAGTTTTCTGCTCGATAGGCCCAAAATGGGCGATTAGGCCGAAGTAGTTCTCTACCCTATATGGGGGTGACATTTGTGTCATAGATGTGGTTTATTGGTGAAACGATTATTTAATAAAAAAAAAAGAGCGATCCAAAGTCCGCGATCAGGAAAGTTTACACGGAAAACAAAATAGCCCATCGGTTAAGTTCAGAGTCACACATTGTTGGGATATTGCTAAGTGATTCGCTAGGAGTGTTTCTTTTGTTTTTGAGAACAATCGACGTAAATATGCATAGTTTGCGCTCGTATAGCTTTAGGAGTGTAACGAAACAAACGTTCAATTGATATGTTCAACGTGCACATATCAATTGAACGTTTATTTCATTGATTTGATTGATGTTTTATACTCGATAGAACGGAAATAGGCGATTAAAGGGTGGAACGGTAAAAAATTGGTCAAATATAATTAAGTGCACACTGTGCAGTGCAGTGTTCTTTTTAAAGTTCAACGGCTACAAAATACAGAAATATTATTGTATTAGGCTGCCGACTGTCCAAATACGAACTGCCGGGCTTTGATGCAGAACGCCAATTTGCTTTGAACTGTTTCTAATTTTCAACTATTTTTTCTTTCTAGTTTTCTTGAGGTTTCGCTTATCGATTGCAAATATTTTTCGATTGGGCGCAGCTCCGGCCAGTTTGGAGGGTTGTTATCCTTGGGTACAACTTGGACGTTGTTGGCGGTATACCATTTATGAGCCATTTCCCCGTAGTGACAGGAAGCGAGGTCTTTCCAAAACAGCACGGAATAACTGTATTTCTTCAAAAAAGGCAACAGACGTTTTTTCAAACATTCCTTTACATAAATATCGTGGTTAACAGTTCCAATTGTCACGAAAATCGTGATTCGTCGCCAAACCAAGTATTTTCGGGAACTTTTTCTGCTTAAACTTATCTTGAACCTGTCCTTTCCGGTAGCCGTGTCGAACTCTTGACCTGGAAGCTGCTTGAAATCTGCCTTCGCGTCCATCGTCCATTATGATGCAATCAAACTTGGTCAACAATGTCGTGTACAACTTACGTGCTCTTGCATTGGACGTGGTGTTTTGCCTATCAGCTCGATTGGGTTTCACTGTAGCCTTGTATGTTGAAAGTCCGGGTCGTTCCTTGGCTGTTTGTGGTGTTGTGTGAGATATTCCCAGCTTCTTTCCGACATCTCTGACGAAAAGGTTAGGATTACACTTCAAAACGCTGGCCACTTTTCTACCGGTCACTGATCCTAGTTTCCTAGCAGTCATCAGACGTTCCCAAACACTTTAATAACGTTTGCCAAGCTTGCGTAGGGAAAATTAGGATTTTGCTTGTGCGCGAGCATAATTTTGATACACTGTTCCTCTTGCTTCGCCGCCATTTTGACAACTGAATGGTAAATGGGAATAACAAAATAGAGGCAACATTCCGTACTCACATACCTACAAAAAAGGGATGTTCAAGTTGTTTTTAAGTGCACGATTGATTAAAATACACCAAATTTTAGTCGACCAATTTTTGACCGTCCCACCCTTTACGACGAAGTAGAGCTCTACCCTACATGAGATTAGCACAAGACATCTTTTTCTCGATGTCTAGCACCTGAAGTCAATTATCTAGAGCTGTGATTTTTAAATAAAAAAACTTAAAAAAAGGCCATCTAAAATATCACGAGTTTGTTTTTCCATATCCAATAGAATCTAGAAGACGTTTTTAAAGAATATTCACCTTATCAGTTCTGTTAGTTATTCACCAAAGGCTTTCTCCGATTGCTATAATATTGTTTTTGTTGACAATCCTCTCTGAGCTGTATCCCTGTGTTGCTAGATCAACAGATCCTGGTTGGGAAAACCATTAAAAAAAAATCAATAAATTTACCGTTTTCGGCTAGATCCAATCAAAAGTGCAATATTCAGGCTTCTAGAGAAATCTCCATTTACGAATCTATAATGTGAAACAATATGAAAAATTCGTAAATGTAGATTTTTATCAGAGCGTTAAGTATACATAGGTATTGTAGAAAGATTTAATCTATTAATTTTAACAGTTTATTATTAACCTTATTGACTAACAATTAGTAAGATGCAGAAGGTAACGTGACCAAAAGTCTGATTAAGAATCTGAGTAACGACACAAACCAACGAATTTAGGAATGTCCGAAACAGAACAGTATATTGTAATACATTATTCTTACGTCCAAGTGTTTTTGTCGCAATTCGTTACGGTGTGTACGTTCGGTTGTATATGTACTTGTTTTAACCAAGCAGTAGTTTAGTAGGAGTGGCAGAATGTGAAACGAGCATGGTCAGTTATACAGTAACAATGCAGAAAGATTTGCCAAAACATACAAATCCAGTGTAATTTGAATCAACTTAGGAATAACGATGTGCAACCATCATACCGGTAGAGACGAGAGAATGAAACCGATGTAACTACTACAGTGTCCAATTTGCTTCAAATATCCGTCTGTATTAGAATTGAATTTAACAAAGCGAATCAATTCACGCGAATCGGAATTTTACTAACCAAATATACATGTCGTACTAGCTTTTATTCGATATTCGCTAAGGAAATTTACCATCTAGATAGTGAAATCAATTAGCATTGTATGGCATCAATTAAACACACAACCAAACACACACCCTGCATGCAGTATCAAAAATCGCCAATCATCAACAAAAATCAAGAGAATCTGACAATGAAAAACCTGAGTGTGTTACCTCTTCCGTTCAAATTAGCAACTAAGGATATTGAAAACAATTCAACCACACGAATAGAGCGACACTCATTTAGATTTTAAGTGCTAAAGCGTGGAAATAAACCTATTTTACCGAAAAATTAAACGCTTGTTGGTTTTATTGCTTTGGCGAAACTAGGGCCGGATAGCTTTGTTTATCGTTTGGACATCGGAATCGATTGCGGTCGGACCACACTTTCAAAACAGACCCCCGTGTTTAGGCTACTTTGTTTTCGGACTCACACATTGTAGGCTAGCTAGGTTCGCGTTCGTTTGCAAGTAGGAGGCTTTGGCCAGTAAGACCGACAAGCGTTCAATTTTTGCTCTGGAATCCAACTCGCAGTAGACCTAGACGTAGACTTAGAATCCTAATTCTCAGTCTCTCTTTCTATCTCTGTGTCTGTTGTCTCTTTCTCTCTCTCTCTTTCTCTCTATGTGTATTTCTCTTTCATGCTGTCCCACGTGTGCAGTCGAGGTCAAGTAAGGTCCCGAAGCAGGTCGAAGAAATGATCGATGAAAAGTGTAGGAACCTGAACAAAACCGGCGTCCCCAAGGGCAGTGCGTTGCACCTGGCCCAGTGGATGAAGGGGCAGCTGGACAAACAGGTAGTGGAGTCCGATCCAATCGATTCCGATCCCGAAGTGGCGATCGAAGAGTGGTCTGTTGAACAGGTTGCGACTCGATCCAAGGAGTTGAAGTTGGTCGATACCGATGGAAATCTTTGCAAAACAATGAATGGGTCAGGGTCGAACCTCAAGTTGACCGATGCACATCTAGAGGATGGATCCACGTACGATGGAGATGATGACAATAGGAGTGTGTCGAAGAGTACCACCTCGGATAGCCAGGTAAGTGTTGGAGACGTGAATGTGATGAGGATTTCATTTATCGTTACCCTTTGATTTAGATAACTGTTCGCTCGAGTCCCCTCAGCAATAAAGTAGACACAATCTCCGTCTGTCGGCAGTGCCACAAAAACTGCAAAAGTCGTATGAACTCACCTAGCAGTAACTCGTTAACCGTTCAGCATAGTCAAACTTCGTCCACGCGGTGTTGCGTGTCTTCCTCGACGACCACCAGCAGTCTGAACAAAAGCGCGAATTCCACCTCCAGCATTTCTTCCACCAGTACTCTAACAATGCACAGCAAATCACCCACGAAAGCGGAAGAACTTCACGCAACCACTGCGTTGCCAGAAACTCCAGAATCTTCTCACAAGGCTTCACACAAGCATCATCCTCCAGCAGCGCTCAGCCTCAATAACTACAAGACCAAGTGCCAAACGCCCTGTCACTGCAAGTGTACCCCAAAAGACTTCGAGAAGACTACCATCAGTCCGGATGAGGTGCTTCACGAACGAGTCAAAATACTGAAGAATGTAAACGAAGTTAACGCTAATACAGGTTCTACCAAGCTCAATGGACACCACACCACCACGCACGAACTGCGTACCAGTAGATGTGATAGTAGCAAATGTGATTCCACCGATAACAATAACATCGAAGACTGGTCGTTGATGTTGATCGGTCTGGCCCAGATAAACCCGGCGGCATCTCTCGTTCATATGGACCCTTTCGAAGCAGTACCTACGATCTCGGTAGTGCCACCAACTCCGGATGCTCTAAACAGCAACAACAAGTACTCAATGTCCCTTAATTGGAGCGACTCGAACCGGCTTCAGCTGGGAATGATCAACGAAGACAACGGTGCTGAATACGATGAGTATTCACCGGATAACTCACCGGAGGACGAAGTAGCTGAACCTCCGTATCGTGCACTGAGCACCGGAATGAAACGATACGGAACATTGTCCAGTTTGGAACGGGTGCCGTCGGATGAAACAGATGACAAGACTTACAATTCTTCGGAGGAAGATTCCGAAAATGGTAAGATCATTACTTTAAATATATCTTCCACATCCGAACGTATAAGTTAAATTTTTCGTAGATATCAAAATCGTCACCAAGGAGGTCTACGACGATAACGCACAAACGTTCCTAAATTGGACGGCCCGGGCGGGAAGCTTCATCGAAGAGTCTCGCGCCTTCATCGATCGGTATCTTGGCCGAGGTAACACTGCCGACGATGACGACGTGACCAAAGAAGATGCCAATGCTGAAGAAGATCCCATCGAAGGCGAAACATCGGTGACCTCCGGTGAGGAGGTGTGGGGAACTCCAACGAGCGGAGGCGAAAACGACGACATGCAAATCTTCGGCAGTATCGAACAAACGCACTCGGTAATTATCATCATCATCATCATGCTTTTTCTGTTGCATCTCGTTGAGATGAACCTTTGCTAATGAACCGTCCAATCCCAAGTCGCCGACCAAGTCCTCATCGTCCTACACCGGAGACGACGACACCGAACTGATGATGGACGAACTGCTGATGGCACCGCCGATGACTGCCAGTGCCGTGCGGGGTCTACTGCCAAGGTACCTGTAGCTCGTTCGTATTTCATATTTGGTAGATAGAGAGGGCTTGTTTCAGTTTTCCTAGAATCTAGACTAGACCCAATAGTCTACATTTAGGTGCTAGGAATAGTCATAGCCCAGTGGATTTCCTTAGAATGTAGCATATAGATAGACACATCAATATCCAATTGTTCCTTTCTTTCTTGTGTTTGTTGGATTCTTTTTGAATGACGAAAAACTCATATGTATCATAACGTGTAGACGAAAGCTAGAACCACTGTTTGAAGAGGAAAGTGAGAGTTACGAAGAATCGGATGACGATAGTAAGCCACTGAGTGGACGTGATAAACAGGTAGGATGTGATAAATACACTCTGTAATGCTGTTTTTTTAGACTTTATTGTTATCAGTATTATAAGTTACCATTCGAACTTTGATTGTAGTGCAACGTTATTTTCTTAATCATTCTATTCAGGGGTTTAGTGTAGTTTGAAATGATATGACATTTTACAAGCACGTTTCAGTCGTTCCAGTTACAGCATTGCGAAATATGCATCCCGTGTTGCAAGTCTGAGAATCGTAAAACGCTTCTTTTGTCCGCTTTGACAGGATTGGCTTTAATTTAGTCACTATAATCATGGACGTCTGGAGATGGGAGCCGATTTGAACCCGAACTATTCCAAAATGGAAGTTTCTGTTTTTAATTAGTCGGAAAGGAGAAGTATTGTGATCGAGACAAATTTAATCAACCGAGAGTACTATTATGTTAGATAATAGTTTTGACATAACTCTTTTTCAAAAAAAAAACATCAGTATGAGTAATGCCAAGGCCATAAAGATTATAGGGACGATCTGCCTAATTTTGTCCAATGCACACATTCTGAAATATAGCATTAGTGATCAATGTTCCATTAGCATCCAATAACGAAAAGAAAAGATAAAAAACAGCAGATGTTTATCGATGAACAGAATCTTTAGATCCAAAGGCCGACAATAGAATCATTTCCTCCACTTATTGACTTTTTTCACAGATCAAATGAAAACCTGACAGATGCATCGCAAATGTGCACCGTTAACCGGTAACGAATTGAATAACGATCGTTAATTTCTGCATTGTTAAATCATTCGCTGATTTTAGTTTTATGGATTTGAATACTACACACTTAGTTTTTTTTCTACCGAGCTCGGTTGTGCAAATCTCGGCAACAAAAAGTTTTACTGAGATCTCAGCAAACATTTCATTTGTTTGCTGAGATTCAGCTAAGCATTATTCGAGACTCAGCAATCAAATGTCACTTTTGCTGAGATCTCAAAAAAACTTATTTTTGCCGAGATTTACACAGCCAAGCTCAGTAGAAAAAACTAAGTGTGTAGGATAAAATCTGCACGACACACTGATTAACGGTCTTTGAATGATGGTAGTTCAATGAATGAAGTTATAACCTGAAATAACATTTTCGGGAATGTGATAAACAAGGTGCTATTACCATAGAGGTAACTCTAAGACTAGAAGGTCCCAAAGAAACGTGCTCAACTTTTTGGCTCAACTCTGGTACTCTCTTCGGTCCCACGCTAATCAATGCACCCTTCGAAACATAGGAAAATCCACGAACCCCTCATTTTATCTGTCAAACTTTCATAGCGAATCAAAACAAACATCGTGTAGTACTAGAATTTCGACTAGAATGGGGTTTCCACCGGTTGCTATTACTGAGCCATTTTTTCAAACCTTCATGTTGACGGAATATCGAAGCAACCTGTTGATTTTGCCGTTGAATCTGAATATGCCTCTGTACCAAAACGACAAATCCCATACACGGTAAGAAAAAAGTACCCAACGGCCAGATCACTTTTACCTACTTTTGACTAGTTTGCCTCCGTTTCTCCTTCTAATGTTGTCAAAAACGGAGGAGCAAAACCACCCAACAGAGGTAGTAAAGTGTAGGAACCCAACTTTTAGTATAATCATATTTACCTACTTTTTGGGTACAACTAACTTACTTTTGGGTAGAAAGCTAGTGGTAAATTCCATACGAATTGCACACCGGTATATAAAAACTTTTTTGACGCTCAACCTACGTTGGGGTTCCTGCACTATACTGCCAATATGAGTGAAGAGAACTTACTTTTGGGTACTTTTTTTTTTCTTACCGTGTGAGTATCAAAACGTCAAAATCGAAGAAATGTTGGATTCAAACTGAATATAGGGGGTACGACAGCTGTTGAATAAGCTTGGTAATAAATGCGAAAGTTGTCACTAAATGTTGCCAAAATCAGGAGCTTAAAAGGGACCCATAATACTGCGTCACCGTCAAGCGGGACCCTCAAAGCTGCTTCAACGTCAGCGTCAGCGTTAAATTTGAATCTGATCAAAATTGACGGACTGACACAGCGTCGATGCGTAGTCGCCAAGTAGAGATATCGGTAGAAAAGCAGCTTGACGTGCGTTACACCTGTCATTTGACGGACGAACCCCTTCGTCAACACTGACGGTGACGCAGTATTGTGGATCCCGCTTCGCTGAGTCAGTCCGTCAATTTTGAATAGATTCAATGGTGACGGTGATGCCAACCTAACGATTTAGGTAGAAACTAACGATTTTAAATTGGCTCACTACTTGACTAGCCTATTGGTCCCAAGCAAATCGATTAACGTACCCCATTCTAGTCTACATTCTAGTAAACACACAATGTTTGTTTTGATTCGCTATTAAAGTTTGACAGATAAAATGAAGGGTTAGTGAATTTTCTTATGTTTCGAGGGGTGAATCGATTAGCTTGGGACCGAAGGATAAGAGTACTAGAGCTGAGCCAAAAAGTTGAGCCCGTTTCTTCGGAACCTACTAGTCTTGGAGTTACTTCTATGGTGATGCCGCATTGTAGGTACCGCTTTACTGTACCAAAATATTTTTTTTTTGATTTTGGGTAAGCGCTGAACACAATGCATGACATGGCACAATAAATTGCTGGCAAGAGTAAATTTTTAATACACGAAAATCCGTTTGACAACCCGCAATGAGCGCGTTGCGACAAAAGTGGCAAAAGTTTTGAAAAACCGGTGCAGTTGAGCGGCAACCAGATAAGTGTTCAAGTGGATTAACCAGAACGTTCAAGATGTAATCAAAATAATCATCCAACGTCGTATTAAGTAGTCAGAACCACCTTGGCCAGATCCGTACATGTTCCGGGTACCCCCTGGGAAGTGTCCAGATTATACTTAAAACTACATCTTCATGCGACACAACTACAAGAGAATTCAACAACAAGGTTATTGGTAACCAAATTAAGTACTCAGGACCACGGTCCTTCTTGCACCTACATCCACATGCGATACATTAAAACTACAATAAAGTTAAAAAAAATAAGGTCATTGTTGGCCAAACTAAGTACTCAGGACCACGTTGGTCAGATCCGGAACATGCAGATGCGACACATCAAACTTAAATAAAATTTAAAAAATATGGTAATTGGAGACCACACGAAGTACTCAGGACCACGTTGTCCAGATCCGGACATGTTCCGGGTACCCCCGGGGAAGTGGTGAGATTATTCTTGGACCTACACCCTCATGCCAATCAAACTACAAGAAAATTCAAAAATAAAGTCACTGATGACGAAACTAAATACTCAGGGCCACGTTGTCCAGATCCGGACATGTTCCGGGTACCCCCGGGGTAGTGGCCAGATCCTTCTTAAACCTACATCCTCATGCGATACATCAAACTACAAAATATTTTAAAAATATGGTCATTGGTGGAAAAATTAAGTAGTCAGGACCAGTTTGAGCAAATCTGGACATGTTCCAGGTACCCTCGGGGAAGTGGTCAGATTCTTATTGAACCTACATTCTCATGCGACACAACAAACTACTAGAAAAAGAAAAAAATAAGGTCATTGGTGGCCAAATTAAGTACTCAGGGCCACGTTTGCCAGATCTGGACATATTCCGGGTACCCCCGGGGAAGTTGGCAGATTCTTGTTGAACCTACACCCTCAAGGGACACATAACACTACAAGAGAATTCAAATGACAGACATTTTATAACCTTATAACCTCATAAAAATCAGTTAGCTTACGTACAGTGCAAGTGAAAAATAAGTTTTTGCGCGCATTGTGGGTAGGAATTCGGCAAAGCGCATTGGCATAGCGGTAACCGGAATTTTAGTAATACGCATTTGCCGCTGTGCCGCTGTCATTGTGTTCGACTCTTCAACGTTAACGTCGTGGAATTTATCTAAAGCTTCGACGTTTTAATGTTAACGCGCTAAATTCGCTTAGATGCTTATTAACGGTTACCGACGCTTAGAGATGAACTAGCCTAAGGCTAAAAATCTCTTTAATAAAGAATTTAAAAAAAAGGTTATCGACACTAACTTTCTGGTTAACGGTACAATCCCAGTTGAGGAAGATGGGATTTTCAGAAACGAAAAATCTCTGATCACGTCTGCTCCACAAGAGAAATAAAGACGTAGGTATCGGCAGGCAAACATACTTTTGAATATAAAAACCAATGCATCCATACAATATTGAAAAACGCTCCATAAAAAACATCCAAATGATCTATAAAACATCGGAGAAAATCCCTAAACAAGTGTTGATGATCCATAAATAATATCAATACTATCAATATTTTATGTGAAATTTAGCAACACAATTGTAAAAATGTACCGCTAAATTTCTAAAGAATGAGCATTGAAATTGTACGAATTACCCATAAACATATTGCAATTGATCCATAACACATTCTAAAGAAAGTGATCCATAGAAAATCAAGATTGCGCACCTAAAAATATTGCCATGTTCGGATTAATGAAAGCAACTTCCTCAGAGCAGCCTCGTTTTGGACAGCTTGAAGCTGAAAAAGGTTTTATTAAACTAATATAAAGTCTAAAACAATCTTAATGCTCATAATGCAACCTATTTCAGCTTCAAGCTGTCCAAAACGAGACTGCTCTGAGGAAGTTGCTTTCATTAATCCGAATATTCTTGAAGAACAACATCGGATATAACCTCAAAATGCCAGAGGAATCAACACCACCGTTGAGTGAAGAATAGAACAGTGATCGAAACTGTACGCTTTGTGAAGGCCATGACCACGTACATAGATGATATGGTCCAGCGTGATGTCTGCGATTTCTGGACCCATTATGGTTGTGCTGGTAAGACAGCAGCTGTAAAGGAGGTTCCGTAGACGTGCTCGAAGTGCACACATATGCTGAAGGTGCCGAAAGGAACCAAGAAGTCTGTCCCAAAGAAACCACCTAGCAGAAAGAATAGTGCGAGGAGTGATGCCGGATCCGAATTTGGAAAAGGAAGTACCAATGAGGTCAGCCTGGAGGAATCCCTAGACCAGT